CTGGCTTATACTTCACCTCGAAGTTATGTTCTGTAAAGATTGATAGCCACCTGGCCATCCTCTGCGAGAGGTCAGGCGACGAGTCGCTGTGCGTAGTGACGCATGATCCGTGTAGATCGCAAACGGGTTTAAGCCCAGCAGCTGCACCCTGAACTTGACAAGTGCATACTTCACCGCAAGTAATTCCTTGTCGTGGATTGGGTAGTTCCTCCGTTCAGCCTTGGGCTGGCAGATTTGAATGCGATCACCCGTACCCTCTCCTCGGGGGTCCGCTTGCAGCAGCTCACTGCCGATGCAAAGTCCGAAGCTTCACAGACAACACTAAGAGGACGATTGGGGTCTGGCAACGCCAGTATTGGTGCATGAAGGAGGCTGTCTTTGACCATGTCAAAAGCTTCCCGATGCTCGGTGTCCCAACATCATTGAGTATCCTTCTTAAGGAGATTCGACAATGGCCGTACCATTTCCGCATAATTTGTGCTGAAGTTGTGCAAGTAATTGGCGAAGCTACTTGCGTAAGTCCTTGTGGATCGTTGGAACAGGCCAGTCTACAATGGCCTTAACTTTGGTGGGATCCGCTCGAAGTCCACGCTTCCCAATGAAGTACTCTAAAAAATGGATCTCTTCCGCGCCAAAGGTGCACTTGTCTGCATGGGCGTACAGTTTGTTCGTGTGCATGCACTCGAGCACAGCTCTTGTATGGACGATGTGGTTCTCCTCATCCGTCCTCCCAAGCTCCGCACGACTGTGAACAAAAATGTCGTCACAGTATGTCTGTGCATACGCCCGATGGGGCCTAGATAACTGCGTCACAAGACGATTAAATGTTGCTGGTGCATTCGACAGTCCTTGGGGTATTACCAGCCACTCCCAGAGCATGCAACTCGGAGTACTTACCGCTGACAGCGAAATATCACTAGCTTTCATGAGCAATTGGTCATACCCATCGACCAGGTCGAGTGCGCTGTACTTTGTACAGCCAATCATGTTGCTCTGACGAACACCCTTTCTAGGAATTGGCGTTTGTGCCGGAATGGTAGCAGCGTTTAGCTTATTATAAGCATGAGCGATATGCTCCTTGCGGCTCGCTTTCCGTACACAAAACGTGGGTGTCGAATGGCGAGACATTCTCTTACGTACCATTCCTGCCACGTACTTCGCACAGAAAAAAGCGTCAATGACATCACACTGCTCTTTGGGCAGGGGCCATTGGTGGGTAATGCAGTATTTGGTTTCCAGGACCAGGTCAATCTCATGACGCACACTACGGTCCAGAGGTAGGAGCGACGGCGGGTCTTTGGAGATGACTTCTTGGAATTCCTTTACTAAAGGATAACGCGGATTCAAAGGAATCTTCAGGATCAACGATCCACTTCGTGGGTTCACCACCCTCTTAGTGTCCTTCAGGACAGCTTTATCCAGAACCGACAGCGAGTTAATTTCCTGTTCGGTCTTATAATGACCACCTTGGCTAAGTCGCCTGGGTTCTAGGCACCGCTGAACTCTTCGAAGAACATCTTGTCCAGCTCAGAAAGAGCGTTCACCGCGGGAATAGCCTCGAGGTGATGTCGCCGTCTTCCTCCCCGTCATAGCCTTTGACAATGGCGTATAGCTGTGCGTTATCTTCTACGGTAGAAACATCCTGGGTCAGGTTCGACGCCCTGTGTCTTGCAGATATTATACATCGTCGCCGTCTCCTCCTTAAAGCATTTTTACGTCTTGTCGAGATCAGTGGGAGCAAGCACTCAGCGTCGCCCAATATTAGCCCCACTTCTTGCTGCACCGAATCCCTGATGTTATTATCAACATCCGACAAAGAGCTGCTATTTCCGCAGTCTTCATCCAGCGGATAACTTGCCAATTCACGCGCAACTAAAAAGGACCTTGCTTACGGTGCCTCGAATCTCGTCCGACCATGCCACTCTTGGCATGCAATAACTGCTTCAAAACGTGAGCAGTGCTCAGTGAGTTACGACCATCACATGCGCATCACTAGAGCCTTGCCCTTGACGCCTCGGATCTCGTACGACCATGCCATTCTTGGGTCAGTGGGTCACGTGTCGCTCCACGTGCACCAATAGTGCTTCGCCCTCGATGCCTCGGAGTTCATCCAACCATGCTAATCTTGGCATGTATCGCTTGAGCAGTGCTCAGTGGGTTACGTGCCACCCCACGTTTGGCCCGCGAGGCATGCTCGGTATTCTTGACAATGACAACTCGGATACTCCGATATCCAGCATATTTACCGTCCCGGTCTAGTGCCCGCGACAATAGCGCTTCGCTTTCCTACAGGGTGGGTTCATTACTCGCCAAAGCTCGACCAGGAGACCCTGCGCGTAGCGCTCAAGGTCTTCAACCTCCAATCGATCATTGTCTCATGGTTTTCCAATAATGCCACCAAGTATAAGGTCATTCCTTGAATCCAAGTCGAAAACTTTCCGTTATCAAAGTTAAGAGACTTGACAGCGAGGCCCACAGGGACCCTCGGCACAGTGACACATGTCCCCGTCGCTAAGCGAACAGTGACGGTGTCACTCAACCGTGCTTTCAGCGCCTCAGCATACAGCTGACGTTCCTCGGTCATGGAGTGTCGAGCATAATTGCCCGACGTCCCGGAATCGATAAGAATTTTCCATGGCTTCTCAAAGCCCTTCGCGGTCGCTTCCACGACCAGCAAGCCCGGCTGGCATACACGTTCCGTGTCCAAGAGCACGGAGCTCTTCGGGAATATGCGCTGCTGTCCTCTACATCTTTGAGGCTCAACAGAGCGCAATTCTCTCCCGGAAAGGCACCACGCGCCTACTGGGTGTGCTAATTTACTTGTGAGAAGCGGGACGTCGGATCGATGAACGTTGACGCGCCTTGCGCAGGGGACAACCAGTTCGAAGGTCACGGATGTTTCCAAAGACAAAACACCGTAGGGTGTTTAAACGCAGCTAGGAGCTCTCCACACTCTTTCTCAGCATAGCTGGGATACATTGGCTCGGGCCCGCTCGACGAGCTCTCAGTGTGAGCATTTCAGCCAGGTCTCACCGACTCAAAGTTGAATTCGGCATTCAATGCCACCTTCATCGCTTGTTCAATAGATGATGGATGCACACGAAAGACTTCCGTTCTGGCGACGCCAGTGCGGAGGCCCTCCATAAAGACAGTCACTTAGACCGCCTCGGGGGGAGGATCGGCTGCCATCCCAGCAGTGAAAGTTTGCAACTCTGGGACATGGTCCAGCAATTCCTTCTTGCCGTGTCGGCGGGCTTCGGCTCCGTCCAGCTTGGACCGAAGTGCCGCACGTCAGTGCCCATTCCCGCGCTCGACCACTGAGCTTGGCGATAGCTAGCGCCGCGCGCTGTTGTTTGGTCTGGGGTATGGCAGACATCATGGCCATCTCGACTTCTCTCACCTAGAGCAGGAGATTCTCTCCATTTTCGCCCTCGAAGGTCTTGCTTGACGCTCACCATGAGCGATTGGGTCAGGGGGGTGTCATCCGTTAAGTCATGGACGCAGTCGACGTCTACATCTTCTGCTATAGGTTCACTAGCAGAGCACTTACATAGCTCAAAAACACTTGTACGCGCGCGCTTGTTGCCTTGGGTTGTTGCGAAGCAAGGTGTTCCACGCCCTCAGGGCCAAGCAGAAATATAAGCTTATTTAGCCCATCCTGCATGCCCTGGGGCAAAAAGGAGAATTGCTCCATTCTCACAGAGAATCAGTCGTAACGGCAAAGGCGTAGATTGACCACTAGTGCTACAAAGTGCAGCAGGGTTACCGTAGCTCTTTGCTTAGAGGAAGCTTAATAAGGTCACCGACCATACATTCTATACTAGAACCATTACGGGTGTAGCGAATTGCAATTCGCTACCTCCAAAATAACCCATAACCTTAAATGTACTCAACATTGAAACTTATTTGTTTTATTTGCGGCAGAACTGCCTATCTGTAAAACCTTAGATTTTTTCATAAATTAGTAAAAACTTAGTAATATGCATTTCTACTGGTAGTCCCGCGACCTAGTGGCTTCTTGTTACGGTGTAGCCACACCGTTGTGTGATTACACCGACTAATGTAATCCACACCTTTGTACGGTTACGTCTTCTTGTGTGATCTACCATTTTATACCAGGGTACGTGTAACCCGTTACAAGGAACTTCTCGTCCGTGAGTATAGTGATATTGTCCCTGCGGCTGAGCGAGAGACCAATCCATCAAGTTGGCGAATTAATGCGCTGATGCCATAAAGGGCTTTGAGCTCTCCTCAGTCACGTGCAGCGACCCGTAGATGGCCTGATCTGTGTCGACACCACCAGGCCCGGGTGACCTTCTCCTTGCGAAGTCGGAGCGAAACGATCTCGATGTCGAGTATTGTCTTCAGATCAAATGAGATAGACTTGCCCCCACCATCAGCAAGGCGCATCTGATGTGATTTTGCGGTCAAAATCTCATCGCGCTTTCGCCATCACTTCCAAATGACAGCCCCATCATGAAGACCCATTTTACGGAATTTGAGGGTACGTTGCCTCCCACTTTCTGGTCCACTTGACAAATATTTGCTTGGTGCCAAATTGAATGGAGTCGTGGGGTGCTATGGTCGAGAATTATTTGGGAGAGCGGGGAGCATTGTCTGTTACCTATGATCAAGACATCGAACCGGACTCTCATTTCGGTTATTTTATGTGGTTGGGTATTTTTCCGACTGACTAAAATACTGGCATTAGCTTTATCAAATTCCGTCACTTGCGCACACA